ATAGGAAAATCCAAGAAGAGTCACTGAGGACCTATCTGTTCACCTACAGCAGTGTATACGACTCCATCAGGTGAGCACAGATGTATTAGTTTCATCAGTCTTTACTAAACCACAGATTTCTGTAGACCACTGCAGCTTCCCCACAGACCAAAGATGATCGGTCACTGTTCTGCCAAACCTTAATTTTACTACGCTTGTCTGTCCTTCAGCATGGCTACGCTGTCTGAGATGTTTGAATTGGAGATGCCCACAGTCCACAGCATAATCAGCAAGATGATCATCAACGAGGAGCTGATGGTAGGACTCGACGTTTCTGTTCTGTGGACTGAAAATATAGACACAGCAGTCTCATGGGGGCTTTTATATTTGAGAGTGTTTATATTTGTGATTACTTTTTATATGCCTTTAATTTGGATCCCCCCATTTTTCTCTTCCCAACAGGCGTCACTCGACCAGCCCACACAGACGGTGATGATGCACCGCACTGAGCCAACGTCTCTGCAGAACATGGCTCTGAAGCTGGCAGAGAAACTGGGCAACTTGGTGGAGAACAACGAGCGCGTATCTGACCTGAAACAGGGCATCTATGGCGGTTACTTCAACAGGGGTAAGTTCATCATGTTCTCACAGTACTTAGGGATCGTTAAATCTGGAACTTATTTCTAACCTTTCTGAACCATTTATTTTCCAACTTTTGCTTAGATGATAATTAGCTTTCATTTGTCATACAGATCAGAAAGGTGGCTACCAACAGAAGCAATCCTACCAGAGAGGTATGTTAAATTTCACTGAGGTCGTTTCCTGTTTTATGTCAGTGAGGTAGATGTGGGTTGGATTCTCTTTTCAGCAGTAGATGCTATTTTAAATTCATCCATCAGTATTACACCTTTGTGGTTTGTTTTTTTTCTTCTTTTCTTGTAGTTTAGTGAATTTGTGTGAACACTAATGAGATGATTGTTGTCTTTGTACAACCGCAGATGGGAAATCTTACCAGCAGAAGCAGTCGGGTTACCAGAGAGGCGGTTACAGGAATCAAAATCAAGGAAATTACTGAGCTTGAAGTTTGTGGATTTCAGTTTTTACAGCAGAGCTGGTCTTCATTCCAAGACAACATCAGTACCTCATTTTGTGAGTTTGGCTCTTGGCCGTGCTCCCTCAATGAAACTGTTTTGCTGCTGTTTCTATGTCAGTTAGCATTGCTTTGTGTCAGCAACGGCAGAATGTGATATTACATTTCTGTCAATTTCTTGGAATAAATCTGGAGTTTTATTATTTTAACAGATTAATAAATAAATATTAAACAGTGTTGTGTTTTGTTTGATTTTTGTTTGGGTTTTTTTTTGCAGTGATAATATAAATTCAGTACATGTATGGAAAACTAAAAGCATATCATTAAAATCAGTCTCAGTCCACCTGCTTTAAGATGCTTATCAGTGGATTGAGGGTGAATTAAAAAGTGGTACATCTTTTGTTGCCTACATATAAGTCATTGTATTTTGTACAATGCTTTGGACAAGTACAATACTTTAATTCACAAGAAAAGACATGCAGTCTGTCTGCTAACTAAAGCTACAGAGGCTCTATAAAGAGGACTGTGTGTGTGTGTGTGTGTGAGAAATTATATTTATTATATAAAAACTGGAAAAAAGCATTTCGATTATGCTTTAAACAAAAATCTTGCAAAAGCAGCTTAGTCTGTAGAGAAGTTTGGATCTGTTGCTTAAGTCTAGTTTTATAAATCCTCACCTGTAGGTTACAGAAAATTCTGAGCATCATGTTTTCCTTTTTTGTGAAATTTGATAAGCATTTCATACATTAAAGTATATGAAAGCAATCTTTTGATTTTCTGCACATCAAATACCACCTCGATTACGTTGCTGTCTCAGCGTGTCACAGCTCGTCTCACTGACTCCTCGTTGTGAGTGGCCACTATGAACCTGTACCGCTCAGGTTCCTGCGACATGACGTCCAGCATCACATCAAGGCATCCATTATAACTGTTCAAGCAGACGTGAAATGTATCAAGAGTCGAATCAAGATCAAAAATGATTGGCGATTGTTATACTCCGGAGGTTTTTGTTCTGTCTTACCAGCCTGTCATTGGTGTCCTCCCAGCTCTGATGGATGGGGTCCTGGTGACCCTCTTTCATCGCTAGTTTTCTCTCTTTGTCCATGTAGGCTCCTCTCACCAGCTTGACACCCAAACAGAA